GTTATGTGGAAATTTGTGTGATGCAGCCCTGGCTGGTTGAGCCAAATAAATAAGTTGACATAAAATATTCAAAAAGCATTACATAATTACCATGCTGACAATTTTCAAAATTATAAATCTCATTCTGCTAACATCATTTTTTTTTCTTAGGCTTACTATATTTTGTTGAAAAAACTTGATATTTGATTACATTAGATTTTATGAAATATTTCATTGTTGTTTGGCTTGTCTTGGCTTGTTGTTAGGCTAAAATAAACATTTCTACTATGAAATATTGTCAGTTTAATTTTTTTTTTCTTCAAAGATCAAGAAAAGCCTGAGATTATAGATTGTCCAATGGATATAACAGTTAACACAACAAATGGGGAACCAGTGGCTGTCAATGTCACATGGACAGAGCCAACAGCTACTGATAACTCTGGAGAGACGCCAGAACCAGAGTCTGACTACACCTCTGGTGACAATATGTTTGTGATTGGTGGCACGACAGTGCAGTACAATGCATCAGATTCAAGTGGTAACTTCAATGATCGCTGCAGCTTTACTGTCACTGTTGAAGGTATTTTTGTTTTTATTTGAGAATACAGGACAAATGAAACCCTATAACAACATATTGTTTTTTGTTATTGGTGTTGATACCAATTGTTGAGCGAGCTAAATGGCCGAGCGGTTAAAGCAGGGGCACCGTGATCATAGCCAACAATATCGGCACGGGTTCGCGGCCGGCTCGCTCCTATAGTTCTGGTGGTGGGATAAGGACTATAAACCGTAGGCCCAGTGTACACAAATGCTCATGTGCACTTTAAAGAACCCAGTACATCTTTCGAGATGAGTAGGGAGTTACCCCGGTGTACTGGTTCATTCGGCCCCTGTCGTGGACAGATGAAAGTGTGCCGGTTTACTGGCTGCTGAAGACATGAAGTGACCCTTAGGGGAGGAGAAAGCTATTGTAAAGTGCAACATCTAGTCCCGAGCGCATAGAGACCATGTATTATGCACTATATAAGTCTCCAACCATTACCATTACCATTACCATTGATATTGGCGGGTAGGATAGAGAGGTGTAGGTGGGCCCTGTGAGAAATGCTTCTCCCTGTCAGTGAAGCCAGATACATTACACAGGGGAGAAAAATGGTACAGCTAGTTGTGAGAATATAGTGATATGTTATAAGTATTTTTCCCACCTTGGACGGTCATCCACAACATACCGAGTCTTCATTCTTAAAATACATCAACTACCATCAGGAAAGTAATTGAAAGTAATTGTGTACCCTACCCTTGTATAACATACTCAGAATTAATAAACCATTATTGGGCATATGTAAAATTAAATTTTTAGGACCAAAATTGACAGACACTTATGCAGGAAGTGTCAATGATTGTGTGTGTTCTCATTAAATTGCTTCATTGCTGTGATAAAAATAAGTAATAAGTGTCTTTGATGTATTTTCTTTACTTCACCTACTTCATGTGAAAACCAATTTATCTTTACATGCTTTTCCTCATCTTTCTCAAATTATAATAAAGGCATCGAGTCATTTCTTATAGGTAATTTAGATGTTTGTAGGCAGAGATACCCAGTGGTGGTGCCAGCGCGGTTGCAGGGGAAGTTTTCCCCCTCATTGGACAGACCTGGACTCCCTGTCGTCCGACAAACGACTAAGTCGTAGGACCAAAAATTTCAAAAACTAATAATTTGCCTAGCCAAATAATGCTTCTTTAATTGCCAATCCCTAATATTGTGGTCTGAAAGCACATTTAGGACAAAATTAAGCCATAAAAAACCTCACTATGAACCCTAACACAGATTTTTTTTATTCCGGGCTGTCAACCAAGGCTTCGTCGTCACCTTGGTTCAGACTCCGCCGTCGAACACGTCAGACCCCTTGTCGGCATATTTCTAGCGCCACTGCTGCAGATACCGTTATCTTGCTATAAAATAAGATGCACTCTATATAACTTATATACCAACCAAATCCAAACTGCGATTTATAAAATCTCTCAAATTGAGGGAGTGCTATGAAAAAAAGAAGAAAAGAAATAAAGTGAGAAAAACGTATGCAGAAGACACAGAATAGTGAACAGAGAACAAAAGAAGTAAAATACAGAAAGAAAGCATCAAAACAACAAACTGAACTGTGGACCCATGTTTGATTGCAATAATATGTATATCTTTTTTGCAGACAATGAGCCTCCAGGTATAACTTGTCCTACAAATGTCACTTCGAACAACTACATTGATGAATCGTTTGGTATAGTACAAGTGAGCACAGATGAAGGAAGCCCAAATGCCACTGTCACCTGGGATCAGTCTGTCACAAGTGACAATAGTAATGAAAATGTGACGGTAGTATCGTCACCATATCAGTCAGGTGATATGATACCAATTGAAATTTCTTCTATTGTGATTTTCTTAATGGCAACTGATCCTTATGGTAATGAAGGTACCTGTGAATTTGTTATCCAAGTCCAAGGTAAATCGTATATGGTATTTAAATAACATATTCTAATAAAATTAAATGAGTCGTTGATTCTTCCTAGGGAGGTATAAGTTATTTGTCGATAAGATACAACAGTATACCATGTAATGAAATAATTGAATGTCCAAATGGCAACAGCTTACACATCATATTTTAGACCCATTACCAAATATGAAATCAAGTTCTGTTACATATATATTTGTAATTTTATTTGTTTGTAATTTTACTGTATGTTTAAAGTCTGTATTTGTGTAGTGTAAGTAAAGAGTGCAAATTGTTTGTTCAGTTTAATTGTCTATTCTCTTTCCTGGCAAATGATTATTTTATATATCTTGAATGCCAAATAAATATTATTATTATTATTATTATTATTATTATTATTATTATTATTATTATAGTGTATGTATGTCAATATTTAAATAAAAGAAGAAATAAATGCAAATGTAATGAAAAAATTAAATAAAATAAATATCAGCATTTTTTAAATGCATATGGGTATTGAATCAGTTTGTGCCTTTGAAGAGATTCAGTTATTCATGTCAAAAAGGTTATTAAAAATATTCTTATTTCCAGACATAGAACCACCTGTTCCAAATTGTCCATTAGGAGTTAATGGTGTGAATGATGATGGAAAACCAAATGGCACCATCAGCTACAACATTACCATCACGGATAATGTTCAAGTGGCCATGATCTCAACCAACTATACAGACATTGATCCAGCTGCCAAGACTATTGATGCAGCTTACAATGATTTTGAGACTACTGGTGTATTTCCAGTTGGAGAAACTATAGTTGAATACATCTTCACTGATAGTGCATCGCCAGGCAATGAAGCTACGTGTTATATCACAATAGTTATATCAGGTAGGCTTATGCTGGGTGGTTGGCCCAGCTGTTGCAGTACTGCTTCTCAACTATAAGGCACTTTACCTCCTGTTGTCTTTCCACCCATGAGTACAAGTTGTAGGTTTAAACACAAAATGCGCTGATTACAGCTGGAATGTTAGGAAGTTCTACCCAGAGAGCTGAGTATGTGTTCCATATTTGCTTGATTTAATGACCTATGATAATAATGTGAAGCACTTAGAGGCCTTGTGGTATGAAGCACTTTATAAGACAACATATTATTATTATTTCTTTTTTTTACCCCTTTTTCAACATGACAATCAAGACAAAGCATGACAATCGACCATAGGAAGAAACATAAACTAAAACAAAATGAAAGTGAAAAAGTAACAAAATATTATAATGTGAAGCGGTTGGAGAGGCTTTTCTACGCCACTGCATGAAGAGCAGTGGCGTAGAAAAGTATTTATCATTGGGGGGATGATTGGCATGTTAGCCAGTAGTTGGGGAGGGGGGAAGACTGCCCCTCCCCTGACGGTTTTTACCGGGCTGACCAAGCCATCGTACCGGGCTGGGTAATAAGAGAAAAGAAAGAGGGGAAAATAAAAGTGGTAAATAAAAGGGAAAAAAAAGCAAAAGAGAAGAGAAAAATAAAGACAAGAATAAAAAGGAAGATTTCATAATGACCACACTCACAACACCCTGGGTTCCAAACCCACTACTACCGTTAAACTTCAAAAAATTCAAAATAAAGCTATTCGCATCCTACTTAATCTTCCTCCTACTACTTATTTAACTTCTTTCCACTTCTCTTGAGCTAAGACCCTTCCTTTCCATGACAGATATCGATATCAACTTGGCTGTTTAACTTTTAAAGCTCTACACAATCTTGCTCCCCAAACAATTTGTCAGTGTCTCACAAAAATAACTGCAAATGGCCGCATGAACACTCGGCAGATCACTAAAGGGGACCTACATATCCCCAGACCCCACTTTGAACTTTTCAAACTTTCATTTAGCTTTAATTCCCCCTCTTTCTTTAACTCTCTTCCCTTAGATATCCGCAATGCTTCTACTTACTCCTCCTTTAAATCGTCCCTCAAAATTTACCTCCTTCTTTCTCTCCTGTAATTCTGTTTCTTTGGCCTTTTTTTTTTTTTAATTGTGTTTTGAATTTGCACTGAGAATTCATTTTTTGATTTCTACCTTATTATTTATTTTCTGTTTTATTTATTAATTTATATTGATGTATTTTCTTTAAATTAAGAGTGATTTGATTTATAGTTCTCATATACATTGGCCTATTATCTATTTTTAATTTATTTGATTATTTAATTTAGGCTACTTTATTCCCTTTGTTGTTTTAATGTCCCTTTTGCCTATTGTTTTTTAATATTGCTCTTTCATTTACATCTTTAATTGTAATTTAATTTTAATTTTTATATTAGGTTTTTTATTTAATTTTGAATTAATTCTTTATGTAAATTTTGAATTGAGAGGTTGTTATTTATTTTACTGTAATTTAATTAGTTTAATACGCTCTTTTTTTTTGTTTTACTATGTGTATTGAGGGTCCCTAATGATCAGCTTCGGCTGGATGGACCACCCTCATTAAAGATTGTTGAAATAAAAAACCCTGCAACCCCTTCTCCACTTCAAAAACTGTCATAACTTCTTGATCTATGCTGCCCGATGGCGTAACCGCCGGGGGACAAGGGGAAAATAATTATCTTTGGAAAATCTTTCCCACCCCTTTATATCCCCTGAAAGTGCCTAAAAATCTAAAATTTTGTGCGCTTTGCGCGCATTTCTTGTTCAAATGGTCCAATTTCTTCTAAAAATTGCACATTTTAGGGAGTTTTGATTAATTCCAATGAAATTAGAATTAAAAACATGGGGGGACAAAGGGAAATATCCATCTTTGGAAAATCATTCCCCACCCCTTGATAAATGCACCCTCTGAAAGTGCCTAAAATTCTCAAATTCTTCGCGCAAATTTCTTGTTGCGGTAGGCCAATTTCCTCTATAAATTGCACATTTTAGGGAGTTTTCATCAATTTTGAGGAAATTAGAATTAAAAACACGAAATTGTTTTGCACGCTTTTTAGGGGTACAAAATGTCTTGCACATTCATTCAAGACTGGCGACGCTGGACACTAACAACAAGAACAATAAGCAGTGGCGTATCTAAATACATTTTAATATTAAAATATGTAGTACTACTGTTTACAAAAACAATTACAAATGACAGTTAATAAAGCAAACAAAAAGCTGGAAGTTTAAATGTTTAAATTTCCACCGAATTCGTAGAAAAAAATGACAAAAAAAGCCCCAGAAAAAATGTTACATAGTGTGGTGTGGAAGAAAGTGAGATAGAATAGAGTTTGTAAATGATCCATGTGATTAAGAGGTCAAAACATCTTTAAGACTATAGGGCAAACTTGACCAAATTTGTGGGAAAAGAACAATATCAGAATTATGATTGAGAATAGTGTGTGAATGCAGATGATGAAAGGTCGAAGTAGTTGATGGATAGATATTCTTTTATATATCATCTTCTTCCTATTCAATCCAATCTAGTATTTATATAGCGCCAAAATCTAGTTCCCTATTTAGAGGCGCTTTAAATCTCTGTACCCTAAAATTCCACTATTGAAAGGCCCAATTAAAAAGATGTGTTTTCAGTTCAATTTTAAATTAATATTATTATATTTGCAATTTTAGATAAAATTTAAAATTATTATATTTTAATTCGTAGATCGACAAATCCTTGATATTATGGTTTGTCTAATGGATTAACAGTTAACACAACGAGTGGGCAACCAGTTGCAACTACACATGGCTGAAACATGGGGAAATTATATTATTTGAAAAATTGATAAAAAAATAATCAATTCAAAGTATGAAGGACTTGCAACTGTATCTAATGTGAATATTTACAATTAAACAAGTATTTAGTAATATTAACAATATTCCCAGTGCCATTTAGGGTATTATGTGGAAATGTGTGTGATGCAGCCCTGGCTGGTTGAGCCAAATAAATAAGTTGACATAAAATATTCAAAAAGCATTACATAATTACCATGCTGACAATTTTCAAAATTATAAATCTAATTCTGCTAACATCATTTTTTTTCTTAGGCTTACTATATTTTGTTGAAAAAACTTGATATTTGATTACATTAGATTTTAAGAAATATTTCATTGTTGTTTGGCTTGTCTAGGCTTCTTGTTTCTATTATGAAATATTGTCAGTTTAATTTTTTTTTTTTCAAAGATCTAGAAAAGCCTGAGATTGTAGATTGTCCAATGGATATAACAGTTAACACAACAAATGGGGAACCAGTGGCTGTCAATGTCACATGGACAGAGCCAACAGCTACTGATAACTCTGGAGAGACACCAGAACCAGAGTCTGACTACACCTCTGGTGACAATATGTTTGTGATTGGTGACACAACAGTGCAGTACAATGCAACAGATTCAAGTGGTAACTTCAATGATCGCTGCAGGTTTACTGTCACTGTTGAAGGTATTTTTGTATTTATTTGAGAATGCAGGACAAAGGGAACCCTATAACAACATATTGTTTTTTGTTATTGGTGTTGATATTGGCGGGTAGGATAGAGAGGTGTGGGTGGGCCCTGTGAGAAATGCTTCTCCCTGTCAGTGAAGCCAGATACATTACACAGGGGAGAAAAATGGTACAGCTAGTTGTGAGAATATAGTGATATGTTATAAGTATTTTTCCCACCTGGGACGGTCATCCACAACAGACTGAGTCTTCATTCTTAAAATACATCAACTACCATCAGGAAAGTAATTGAAAGTAACTGTGTACCCTACCCTTGTATAACATACTCAGAATTAAGAAACCATTATTGGGCATATGTAAAATTAAATTTTTAGGATCAAAATTGACAGACACTTATGCAGGAAGTGTCAATGATTGTGTGTGTTCTCATTAAATTGCTTCATTGCTGTGATAAAAATAAGTAATAAGTGTCTTTGATATATTTTCTTTACTTCACCTACTTCATGTGAAAACCAATTTATCTTTACATGCTTTTCCTCATCTTTCTCAAATTATAATAAAGGCATGCATGCTCGAGTCATTTCTTATAGGTAATTTAGATGTTTGTGGGCAGAGATACCCAGTGGTGGTGCCAGCGCAGTTGCAGGGGGAATTTTCCCCCTCATTGGACAGACCTGGACTCCCTGTCGTCCGACAAACGACTAAGTCGTAGGACCAAATATTTCAAAAACTAATAATTTACCTAGCCAAATAATGCTTCTTTAATTGCCAATCCCTAATATTGTGGTCTGAAAGCACATTTAGGACAAAATTAAGCTATAAAAAACCTCACTATGAACCCTAACACAGATTTTTTTTATTCCGGGCTGTCAACCAAGGCTTCGTCGTCGCCTTGGTTCAGACTTCGCCGTCGAACACGTCAGACCCCTTGTCGGCAAATTTCTAGCGCCACTGCTGCAGATACCGTTATCTTGCTATAAAATAAGATGCACTCTATATAACTTATATACCAACCAAATCCAAACTGCGATTTATAAAATGTCTCAAATTGAGGGAGTGCTATGAAAAAAAGAAGAAAAGAAAGAAAGTGAGAAAAACGTATGCAGAAGACACAGAAAAGTGAACAGAGAACAAAAGAAGTAAAATACAGAAAGAAAGCATCAAAACAACAAACTGAACTGTGGACCCATGTTTGATTGCAATAATATGTATATCTTTTTTGCAGACAATGAGCCTCCAGGTATAACTTGTCCTACAAATGTCACTTCGAACAACTACATTGATGAATCGTTTGGTATAGTACAAGTGAGCACAGATGAAGGAAGTCCAAATGCCACTGTCACCTGGGATCAGCCTGTCACAAGTGACAATAGTAATGAAAATGTGACGGTAGTATCGTCACCATATCAGTCAGGTGATATGATACCAATTGAAATTTCTTCTATTGGGATTTACTTAATGGCAACTGATCCTTATGGTAATGAAGGTACCTGTGAATTTGTTATCCAAGTCCAAGGTAAATCTTATATGGTATTTAAATAACATATCCTAATCAAATTAAATGAGTCGGTGATTCTTCCTAGGGAGGTATAAGTTATTTGTCGATAAGATACAACAAATGGCAGCAGCTTACACATCATATTTTAGACCCATTACCAAATATGAAATCAAGTTCTGTTACATATATATTTGTAATTTTATTTGTTTGTAATTTTACTGTATGTTTAAAGTCTGTATTTGTGTATTGTAAGTAAAGAGTGCAAATTGTTTGTTCAGTTTAATTGTCTATTCTCTTTCCTGGCAAATGATTATTTTATATATGTTGAATGCCAAATAAATATTATTATTATTATTATTGTTATTATTATTATTATTGTGTATGTATGTCAATATTTAAATAAAAGAAGAAATAAATGCAAATGTAATGAAAAAATTAAATAAAATAAATGTCAGCATTTTTTAAATGCACATGGGTATGGAATCAGATTGTGCCTTTTAAGAGATTCAGTTATTCATGTCAAATAGGTTATTAAAAATATTCTTATTTCCAGACATAGAACCACCTGTTCCAAGTTGTCCATTAGGAGTTAATGGTGTGACTGATGATGGAAAACCAAATGGCACCATCAGCTACAACATTACCATCATGGATAATGTTCAAGTGGCCATGATCTCAACCAACTATACAGACATCGATCCAGCTGCCAAGACTATTGATGCAGCTTACGATGATTTTGTGACTACTGGTGTATTTCCAGTTGGAGAAACTATAATTGAATACGTCTTCACTGACAATGGATCTCCTACAGGAAATGAAGCTACGTGTTATGTCACAATAGTAATATCAGGTAGGCTTATGCTGGGTGGTTGGCCCAGCTGTTGCAGTACTGCTTCTCAACTATAAGGCACTTTACCTCCTGATGTCTTTCCACCCATGAGTACAAGTTATAGGTTTAAACACAAAATGCGCTGATTACAGCTGCAATGTTAGGAAGTTCTACCCAGAGAGCTGAGTATGTTTTCCATATTTGCTTGATCTAATGACCTATGATAATAATGTGAAGCACTTAGAGGCCTTTATAAGACAACATATTATTATCATTTCTTTTTTTTTTACCCCTTTTTCAACATGACAATCAAGACAAAGCATGACAATCGAACATAGGAAGAAACATAAACTAAAACAAAAATTAAAGTGAAAAAGTAACAAAAAATTATAATGTGAAGCGGTTGGAGAAGCTTTGTTGGCATGAAAAGCTGTATCGTAGAAAAGTATTTATCATTGGGGGGATGATTGGCGTGTTAGCCAGTGTTTGGGGAGGGGGAAGACTGCCTCTCCCCTGACGGTTTTTACCGGGCTGACTAAACCGTTGTACCGGGGTTGGTAAAAAGAGAAAAGAAAGAGGGGAGAGGGAGGGAAAGAGAAAGAAGTGGAAAAGAAAAGAAAAAGAGAAGAGAAAAATAAAGACAAGAATAAAAAGGAAGATATCATAATGACCAGACTCACAACACCCTGCAACCCCTTCTCCACTTCAAAAACTGTCATAACTCCTTGATCTATGCTGCCCGATGGCGTAAAACCGCTGGGGGACAAGGGGAAAATAATTATCTTTCAAAAATCTTTCCCACCCCTTTATATCCCCTGAAAGTGCCTAAAAATCTCAAATTTTGTGCGTTTCGTGTGCATTTCTTGTTCAAATGGTCCAATTTCTTCAAAAAATTGCACATTTTAGGGAGTTTTGATTAATTCCAACGAAATTAGAATTAAAAACACGGGGGGACAAGGGGAAATTTCCATCTTTGGAAAATCTTTCCCCACCCCTTGATAAATGCACCCTCTGAAAGTGCCTAAAATTCTCAAATTCTTCGCGCGCATTTCTTGTTGTGGTAGGCCAATTTCCTCTATAAATTGCACATTTTAGGGAGTTTTCATCAATTAGAAATTAGAATTAAAAACACGAAAATGTTTTGCGCGCTTTTTAGGGGTTTTTTTTAGGTTAAGTTATTTAAACACATAATAGTCCCAAACTCAAGAAAGAAAAATTTAAGATAGATCGTTTCAAACTAGAAGAAGGGCCTCAATGTGTATTGATGGTGAAAGAATATGTTTGTAATAAATAAAACCATGATGAAAATGCTTATATTTAGTTTCAAACACAGATGTGTGGCCTATATTATAAATAATATAAGCCCTATGTCGTATTGTTTTCTATATGGGGAGTGGGATGCGGGGGTATGATAAATTACTAACCGGGAAAATAAATACCCCCTGGCCCATGACCCCTGTTACGCGCCTGGTATTAGCGCCAATGTGTGCCCTTGTGCGGACACTGGATGTGCCCCCTCTGAAGCTGGAAACCTTGTTTTTGCAAAATAAATTGATGCAATTTGCTATTATAGGCCTAATCAATAAATTCCTCATCAACCGATATAACCTTAAACATTCTTGGAATGGACATAAGATTACTGATGTCGTACACACCCTTCAGCGTGAAAATGTGGCTTGCTTTGCAAGCACATCTAACATCAAAGGAAAGAAGAGCTTAGATTGGTACCAGATAAAATGATTTTGTTATCGACATTAATACATTATGCTAATTTTCATCTTTGTAAGTGCATAAGACATTGAAAATTATTTCTGGGACAGTCTTTTGAAGTGTGTAAAGCTCCATTTTATCCCATACATAGTCAAAATATTGGTGGGGATGATACAATGGACCATCCCCCCTTGTCAAATATTGGGGGATATATCCCCCATCCCCCAGGATCTACGCCTATGATGAAGAGCTATATAAATCCAACATATTATTATTGTTCTGGTTGTGGCTGTTGTCTATATAAATCCAACATATTATTATTGTTGTTGTTCTAGTAGTTGTTGTTGTTATTGTTGTCTATATAAATCCAACATATTATTATTGTTGTTGTTCTGGTTGTTGTTATTGTTGTTGCTGTTGCTGTTGTTTTTTCAATAGGTAGGTTTTAAGATGATAATTGATTATGTCCATGCTATTCTTGTATTAGTCTGTTACTGCTACTCATTGATGTTGGTTGGATGTTGATAGGTTCGGCTGTGTAGATTTATAGAACGCAACTACTGTATATTTCACACTATGTATAAGTAAAGGTAGAAGAATAACCCATAACTCACAGCGTGATTGTGATGAATTGCGTGTAGGCGTGGTCTGTGGCTACCTAGCCTCTGAGAGGAACTTACAGTAACTTCATGTTTACATCATTCAACAACTACAGAGGCTTTCTGGGCCCTTTGTTAAATATTAGAATGGGGATTAGATGTAAGGGGCGTACGCCCCTCCCCCTATTTTTTTTGCAAAAAAACTTTCACCCACAGTGTTTAACGGGCCAGCGGAACCGGGGGGGGGGGGCAGACCCCTCCCTATCATCAGTGTTTTAATACTTTAGATGTGGAAGCACCAGTTATTGAAAACTGTCCAGGACATATAATTGAGTTTGCTAAAGACGGTGGCTATGCTAATGTATCGTGGGTAGAACCTATTGCATCAGACAATTCAATGGCAGTTACTTTAGTGCCTGATAAAAGTATTGGCAGTTCATTTCAAGTCGGATCCACAATTGTAACTTACACTGCTTCAGATAAATCGGGAAACCAAGCAATGTGTACAATAAATGTTACAGTTTTTGGTATGTATCATAAATTATATCTTTTTCCAAAGCAATTTGCTTTAGTTTTTGATATTAGTGTAGGTATGCTTACATGTGTGTGCATTGTATGCACATGTGCTGGCACGTATACATAGAATTATTGAGTAAAATGAAAGATATTTCAAGCTTGAAATATATCGATCAATAACAGTTTTCTGTTATCGGTATATGCTTAACTTTTTAAGAGTTAGAACACAGATATTATAGCGGCGTAGGTTAGCTATTAGGATATGTTAATTTATATACTACATGTATAGGTCATAGGCATCTGATTGGTTGTGACGTTTTACTACTGCAGCTGCGTACACATACTAAATACTAATCCTGCTAAAGAGGACATGCAGAAAACATGCAATCTAGCCATTTTTTTTTTAACTGGACCGCAACGAACACCAGTGCCTTTGCATTGAGTGTGCCATCCAGTAAAAAGAAAGTTTAATTAATAAATAAATAAATAAAATGTTTATTATATTGCATATTTTTGTCTTGACTAATTTAAATATTCCTGTTATTGACCTGTATAAAATATATATATTTATATATAAGTTAATTTTTTGACTTTTATGTTCACTCTCTTTTCACATTGGTGTTTGTCGAACCACCACAATGGAAATAAGTTTGCCTTTTTTGATAATTTATTGTTTTTTCCATGAATGTTATTTTGTATCCAGAATAAAGAAATAGAACTAAAAATTGTTTATTTAATCTTACTGCCACCTTACCTCTAGCCCTACCTCACCTATTCTATACTTTTTAACCATTCTAGCCTTACTTTTCACTATATATTATCTGGCTTTGAAATCTTAAGAAATCAAAACAAAATTTTAGTGTCTGCTTAAGAATAAAATATTTATTATACAAGTATTTTCGACCATAGGTCTTCACCAGGTACTGGTTGCAGGTGCAAATACCACCAATGACACCTTTTTTCATACAGCTGAATAAAGGAATTATGGTTGATTGTAATGACTTAATCCAAGCTGTAATTAAAATTCTTAAGCCATGTCCAATCTAACAAATTTACTTTGTCAAAAAGCTGTAGTATGCCCATATATAGTCATGATGTGCCTATATGCGATCATGATGTGATGTCATCATGACATTATTTAGGCATGTCACATGTTTTTGTCACATAAAATTTGATAGTGTGGACAGAGTGTAAGTCATAGGCAATACCTTTTATCTATTTAGATTGTGACATTAAACTACTTAGTAACAAAATATCTAATTTGATAGTGTGGACAGAGTGTAATTCATAGGTAATACATTTTATCTATTTAGATTGTGACATTAAACTACTTAGTAACAAAATATCTAATTTGATAGTGTGGACAGAATGTAAGTCATAGGCAATACCTTTTATCTATTTAGATTGTGACATTAAACTACTTAGTAACAAAATATCTAATTTGATAGTGTGGACAGAGTGTAAGTCATAGGCAATACATTTTATCTATTTAGATTGTGACATTAAACTACTTAGTAACAAAATATCTAATTTTATAGTGTGGACAGAGTGTTATCCATAGGCAATACATTTTATCTATTTAGATTGTGACATTAAACTACTTAGTAACAAAATATCAAATTTGATAGTGTGGACAGAGTGTAAGTCATAGGCAATACCTTTTATCTATTTAGATTGTGACATTAAAGTTAAACTACTTAGTAACAAAATATCTAATTTGATAGTGTGGACAGAGTGTAAGTCATAGGCAATACATTTTATCTATTTAGATTGTGACATTAAACTACTTAGTAACAAAATATCTAATTTGATAGTGTGGACAGAGTGTAAGTCATAGGCAATACCTTTTATCTATTTAGATTGTGACATTAAACTACTTAGTAACAAAATATCTAATTTGATAGTGTGGACAGAGCGCACGTCATAGGCAATACATTTTATCTATTTAGATTGTGACATTAAACTACTTAGTAACAAAATATCTAATTTGATAGTGTGGACAGAGCGTAAGTCATAGGCAATACCTTTTATCTATTTAGATTGTGGCATTAAACTACTTAGTAACAAAATATCTAAATTGATAGTGTGGACAGAGTGTAAGTCATAGGCAATACATTTTATCTATTTAGATTGTGACATTAAACTACTTAGTAACAAAATATCTAATTTTATAGTGTGGACAGAGTGTAAGTCATAGGCAATAGCTTTTATCTATTTAGATTGTGACATTAAACTACTTAGTAACAAAATATCTAACCAAACTTACTGTTGAATCCCGTGTTATATTTTACTATATGTATGTAGTATATATATTTATATCATTTTTTGTAGATAATGATACAGAAGATCCAGTTTTTATAAATTGTCCAAGTGATATCAACAAAACCACTATCATGGGTGAAAACTACAATGAAGTCTCATGGAAAGATGTAGTTGCAACTGACAACATTGGAGTAAATATAGTGAACTCAACAAATAAGAGTGGAGACAACTTTACAATTGGTGTGACGATAGTAGTGTATACCGCCTTTGATTTAGCAGGCAACGTGGCTGTGTGTAACTTTACTGTGATAATTACTGGTAATGTTTGGTTACACTTTTAATTGTATTTCATTTGTTTCCAATTGACTCATAACCATTGGCGTAATGACGATCACTGGGCCTGAGGTGAAAAAAGTGTTGGGGCCTATGCATTTTATTAATCAATTACGAGTGTCGTATGAATGTGACATATAGATACATGTAAACATAAAATTAAATAATGGTAAAATACTCACCTTAATAGCGAGAAGTTGCCATTTCAAATCATGCCAGACACTTTTTTGTATACAACTGGAAAAAGAAACATTTCGTTGAAGGGCTATAATAAAAATCCTACCAAAAATCGATAAAGCAGGCCATCCTGGCAGACGTATTATTTTTGGCAAAGGTACAGAAAAACTTTCCGAACTTGTAACATTCAGATTCGTAAATAATGACTACTTTGTAACGTCATAGTAGACAAAATAATCACTCCTTGTGGTCCCAAAATTCAGAACTCGTACATATCAATTATAATTTTTTTCTATCTGCCTGAGCCCAGTGATTCTGTACAAGAAATGTTCACATGTTTTATAAATTGTATCTTGTTTCAAAAATTTATCTTAATTCTTTCAAATGTTGTAAATTTCATCAATGTGTGTGTGGGTGTGTGTGTGTGTGTGTGTGTAATACATATTCTGTCTTTTCACTGCATGCACTTTCAGTACTTGTGTACTGTTTTTCAAAGTTACATATTAAACAAATATTGAAAAAGATAAAATAGTCATGTCCATGAAATTAGTTGTTGTGTCATGTCATCATTTCACAACTTTGTCGAATGATACAAAAAAGTTCTCTTGCCTTGACGGTTATTCCATTGTGGTACAATAAGGTTATAATGAGTTTGACTATGTGTACATTTAGAATGCACTAAGTAACAAATCAATATTGAAAGTAAATTTAGAAGATAGATAACATGGAGTATACCCTTTTAAACATTTAAAAGTCATTAGGGCTAACTGATCATTCCACCTTACATATATAGTCTTTTCCAGGCAAGTGAACTTAACATAACATCAGCAGAAGTATGTGTATCAACAAACAAAACAATTCTGCTTTATCTGTTCATTTGAACTTGTAAACATTTAGAATACTGAACATTACACTTGGTCCAGACACAGCAAAAATAATCAAAAAGGGGTAAAATAATAATGACTTAGCAAGCATTTTAAGAGTATGCAGTGGAAGCACGTATTTTATACGGCAGATGACACCAATACGCTTAGACACATTCGAAGACAATTTATTTATGTGGTCTTTCCAAGTTAGTACAGGATCAAAGTAACATATAATATAAACATATAATTAAATAATATAATTAGGAAGGTACAGTAGATAATAATTTAGACTCTAAACACACACACAAACTATATGTATGTGTGTGTAACATACAAATAATGTTGAGGAAGGACACAGATGTGTCCAAAATATTCATTTTAATAAAATATTATGTCCCTTATGTCAACATAGGCAATCATTTCATTTTTGTATCTGCTTGTAATATATTGTAACAATTTATTTTTAAATTTGACATTGAAATGTAGACAATGAAGATCCAGTTTTCCTTAATTGTCCATCATATATGAGCATGCCAACAGCTTCTGGACAAGCATCTGCTAATGTAGAATGGAATATTCCAACTGTCTCTGACAACAGTGGATGGTATACATTGAATCAAACCCATATGCTTGGTGATTTGTTTGAAATTGGCAAGACGGTTGTAATTTACAATGCATCGGATGCTTATGGCAACACAGCAGAGTGTGCATTTATTATTGAAATTTATGGTAAGGATTCTCAACTATGTATTTTATTACCTTATTATCAATTTGCTAAATAAGATTTTTAACTTTTAATACTGCCTCCCGACACTGCAAAGTAGGTATACTTTACTAGAGTAATTAACATTGGTTAGTGTATCAGAGCCGAGTATTTGTAAATTACATCCTTTTCATTTGTAATTGTACTATTTTCACTATACTATTATCAATTTTTTTCAACCTTAAAGTAAAATTTAGTACTAGTAGATTTAATGAATAATGAGTATATGTAGGGTATTCCAGAGGGTTGTGAGGGGCCCTGGTTCAAGAGTACAGTTGGGGCCCTTGGCACATGCAAATTGATTAATCATGTGAACTAAGATGTGTACCACTGATGGGTTAGTTTTTATATAGATTTTTATAATATTTTGACAATAAATCTGTGGATTGTTTTATTTTTAATTTTTAGATGTTCTCATAGTGCATCTTTGAAGAGCTGGCTATTGGCTGGATTGACCATAATAATAAGCATCTTATGACCAAAAGAAAAAGCACATTCTATATTTATTTATTTATTTAACTTTCGTTATAGTGGATGGCACGCTCAATGCAAAAGGCACTAGTTTTCGTTGTGGTCCAGTTACATAACATAAAAATACAAAAATTGAAAAATTGAAAAGAAAAATTTAGGAAAATTAAACAAAGGACTTAATTACAAAAATAGATGACTTAATTACAAAAGTAGAGGACTTAATCACAAAAATAGCAGAGAGACCAATTAATTTAGAGCATTTTTAAATTTGGTTAAATTGGTGTTGTTATCGGATTAACCAATGAACAATGTCAACAATTATTTTGTATATTAGTTTTATTTACTTAAGCTAAATAAAATGAAATGAATCACACCTGATATCATTGGATTATGTATAACTGTGATCATGTAAAACACTTATCCGACCAACACCTTTTAATAATCGTTCTCTTAGAAACAACTGCACAAGTAAAAATTGAAAATCCAAATCAGATTATTATTTATAATATCAGATTATTTTTTTCAGTTAAAACCAGATATAAACATGATCCTAAACGTGGGATGAAAAGAATAAACAAAAATTGAAACAATATTGAGTCCAATTATATTTTTGTTATTATTAAAAAAGAATGACACGGTATCACAGGTTACCCTTTAAATCTTGTTACATCTTGAGGCGGTCCCTTTAACACTTAAAAATTTAAGGAAAATCATTTCACACATTTTTTCTTAACAGCTAAATTCTAAGACAGTTGGCCAGTTGGCCTGGTTCAGAGCAAGACAGGACGTTTACTTCCTATACAAATATCTTGATTCACATTCTAATTGTAATTTGTATTTTTCATTGTAAAACTCTTCTTTGTGTGATAAATAGAAATTTCAGCAGTTCAAACAACACATTTCTTATTTTTGTTTTACTATTTGACATTTAAAAGTTGATGTGGATTTTACCTATAGATGATGAGCCACCGGTAATTATTAATTGTCCATCCTTTGGAATACCAATTGTTCTACCAAACGGTGAAGCATCAGTGGTTGTCAACTGGACTGACATCACAGCAAGTGACAATGATGCTTCAAATCCATTAGTATCTTGTGATCCACCTGATGGTTCTGTATTTGATATAGGAACAGTTCTTGTCTCATGCACTACAATGGACAATTCCAATTTGAATGCAAGTTGTCAATTTGAAGTTACAGTTGAAGGCAAGTAGAGTTTGTTTATTATTCTAATAATTTGTTTGTAAAGACAAGACCAC